TTTGGGCCTGACTTACTTTGCTTAATATAATTTTTCCATGTCTTTCCATTTCCTTACAAATGGGAGCAATGCCATTCTTTCTTATGGAAACATAGAATTGAGTATATATATCAAATGTTCTTGATCCATTCCTCCACTGAGGGGCATCTGGGTTGGTTCCATATCTTAGCTATGGTGAATAATACTGCCATGAACATGGTTGTGCTGGTGGTTTTAGTGCAGGCTGGTTTGTGGTCATTTGGGTAAATGCTCAGGAGTGGGATTGCTGTATCACAGGGAAGCTCTATATTTAGCCTTTTGAGGAACCTCAATACTGCTTTCCAGAGCAATTGAACAAGTTTACACTCCCACCACAGTTTAGTAATGTTTCCTTTTGGTCACATCCCTGGCAGTTTCTGTTATTATTGGTTTTCTTAATAATGGCCATTCTAACTGAGGTAGGGTAGAATCTCCATGTTGTTTTGATTTGCATTTCTTTTATAGACAGAGATGTTGAGTATTTCTTCTTGTGTCTATTGGAAGTCTATCTTTAAGTCTTCAGACCACTTATTAATGAGGTTGTTGTTTCTTTGAGGATTTGTTTTGGGGAGGTTTAAGTTTTTGATCTCTAAGTATATTCTAGATATGAGGCCTTTGTGTGATTCATAGACCTTCTCTCATTCTGTCAGCTTTCTATTTATCTTGCTAGCAATGTCTTTTGCCATGCAGAAACTCTTCAGTTTGATGGATATGCTTCATTTCTAACAAACCATTCCTAGTGCTTTGTAGACAGGTGGCTAGTAGCTGTTATATTGGATGACACACTTTCAGATATTCCATGAGTAGAGAAATTTCACTAAGAGAGTAAAATGTAAGAACTACCCTGCTTTATGAACAGGGTCAAAAATGACTGTACATCTCCTTTCCCTCCTCTTTTTTGAAGCTTGTAGCTCAAAATAATAATGTTCAAACACACACCATCTGTAAGGCAGTTTCTGTGCTTGAGGTAGAGAGGGTAAGGACAGCTCAGCTCAGTAAACATGGTTACTGGCCTGCCACAACATAAATCTAGAGTGTCAAGGAGAATTCTTTCCTTGACACCTCTATCTTCATCTTCTCTTTTGTCTCCAGATCCCTCCTGAGCCATACTCTCTACCCCTCCAAGTATAAACCTCTTTTACTCAAATAACAAAGGCTCCAAAATTACCTGTGCCATCTCTTTTCCTATATGGTGTATCCATCCTTTTACTGACCATCATTTCACTTCTTCTTTTTCACTGTGATAGCCTTTGTGATGCTGTGATAGCTTTAAGTTTTAGTTTTAGTCCATGGTTGGCTAGCTCTATTGCTTTGGTTCTGAGTGAGGTTGAACATCATGGCAGGGAATGTATAGTGAAGCAAAGTAGCACACTGGTGGAAAAGAAGCAAAAAGAAGGAATAAGGACATAGTCCCCAGTAACACTGACAAGTGAGCTACTTCCTTCAACTGGACATCACCACCAAAAGTTTCCATCACTTCCCAATAATGCCATCAAATTAATAATATACCTGTGTGTTAATTCAGTGATTAGGTCAGAGGTCTCATGAACAACCTTTGAAAATGCTGCATTTAGTCCAAAACTTTGAACACAAGTAAGTGCCTTTTGGGAGGATATCTCCATAACAGTCACTGTTAACCTCATACCTAATCTATCCTAAGTAGCCAGAATTACTGCCACTATAGTCTAGTGGTTAAAATCATGGGCTGTAGAGAGCAACAAACCTAATAAAAAGCTCTAATTTGATCACTTAAAAGCTGTGTGATATGGGGAAATAAAGTCATCTAATAGATAGAGTTTAGGTAAAAATAATCCCTACCTCTGAGTGTTACTGTAAGACTCATGAGTCAGATGAGACAATGGGTCCAACACATGTTATAAGTGATATATGGAAGCTCTTATTAATAGATTATTTCTACTCCATGCCCAAATCCTAATTTTTTTCAAAGTCCTTTTCAAGTTTGAGGTCAAAAGCTTTATTCTGTTCTTTTCATCTTGTTCTTGAGAACTCCAACATAAATATGTGCTGATGTGAACTCCTAGTACAAGATAGATAGTGATTACTTAGTAAATTCTCTAATTAATTGATTGATGATTTAAAACAGAAAGGGCCAGGGAGAAACCTATAAGAGGATGTTGCTGGTACCAAGCCCCACTTCCCTCAAAACGAAACTAAGTTTATTTGCAGTTATGGTGGACAAATTCTCAGTGCTTGCTGACACACATGCTCTCTATAGTTCTATACAAGTTTCTAGGGGCAAGCACAATTGCCCATCACACTATTCTGTTCATTAACACATCCATTATAGACCTTAATACTTTCTCTGAGCCACTTCCCTTACACTAATTTAAGTTTCTTAGAGCGTCTTCCCACATAAACTACCTACATCAAAATCCTTATCTCAGATTTTTGGAGGAACCAAGAAAAAGTCAGTACTAATACCACTATGTCCATATTGGACACCAAGTATCACGTTAGGTCTTCTACTTGCACTATCTTCTTTCATATTCTCAACATTTTTATGGGTTGGGGCATTGTCATTTCCATTTTCTTAACAAATTAGGAATCTAAGACTCAAATATTTTGTTCAGGATTACAGATAATAAGTAATCCCAGGGGCTACTTCTGAGCTAATAATTATATAGATAGAGGATAGAACATTTTAGGATAAAACTATAGGAAGTATATTATTGAAAGTAGAATCAGAGAAAATTTGATCTCTCTTTTGGATTTAGCCAACATTTGACAAAATTAAGATATAGAAACAATTTGTTATACTGTCCAGGGTAACAATGATCAAGATGCATTGCAGTCATAACTGACATGGATTGAAACCACTTCACACAACTCCGTAAACATAATAAAAATTTTTAAAGGACAGTAGAATGTCACTTGAATACTTTCTTTATAGCTCATTTTCTTTATTTTTGGAAATAAAGACCAGAAGATATGGCAGCAAAGAGCTACCCAAATGACTCTCATTCCATAAGAAAATTTAAGAAAATGAAAGGTATGTGGCCTCTATGACCTGGAGAGAGAATTACACAAAGGAGACCTTTCTGGGTGCTTAGGCACTGAACAGAAATATTTTGTTTGATGAAAAATATCGAGAAAAGTTCCTCTTCCATATTAAAACTCAAAATTTATTTCTTTTAAATCACCCAAACTACACAAGCCACATGCATAAAGGTGGTTGAATTATAATGTGAATTGACAAATCTAATATATGTAGATATGAAGATAGGTGGGAAAATGTTCAAGGAAGAAGAGGACAAAGGTATATGTTTTCCCTCCACATAGAGCTCCCCTATGACCCAGCAATCCCACTTTTGGGCATTTACCCAAATGTTTACAAACAAGACCACACTAAAGCTACCAGCACAAATACGTTTATTGCAGCACTATTTACTATAGCTAAGATATGGAACCAACCCAGATGCCCCTCAGTAGATGAATGGATCAAGAAATTGTGGTATAGATACACAATGGAATTCTATGCCTCCATCAGAAAGAATGACATTGCCCCATTTGTTAGGAAATGGAAAGACTTGGAAAAAATTATATTAAGTGAAGTAAGCCAGGCCCAAAGAAACATAGGTCCTATGGTTTTCCTTATTTGCAATACCTAGTATATGTCTGAGTAAAGCAGAAAAGGTCAGATAAGGTGATGTTAGGGAAATGAACCCTAAGATATGTACTCCAATGTTTTTTTTCTTTCATGGGGTTGTTTCTAACACATTTATAAGATTATTTCTTTGTTGCTTTGTATGTCCCTCCCCCACAGTATAACCCCTGCTTTCACTGTATTTGATGTTGGTATAATTTGTGGAGGGGAAGGGAAAAAACAAATCGTTTAAATAGGGATACAGGTGGACCCATTGCGACAATGAGATGTACAAGTCCTTATGTTGAAAACGAACTTTACAACTACAACTTTTGTGCGGGGGGGGGGGGGGGAAGGGGGGGGGGGGAACAGGGGGGGGGATGGGAAGGGATGGGAAGAGGAAACAAAGGAGGAGGCTACAATGCTTGATAAGAAATGTACTCATTATCTTGCCCATGTAATTGTAACCCCTCTGTACAGTATTTTCACAATAAAAAAAAAGGAAGAAAAAGATACATGTTTTCCATACAGGGAGGAAAACACTGCATGACTAATATCTTTCTTAGATTTTTAAGAACTCTATTAGCCAAACTTGAGAATTAAAAAAAATTTAGCTACAATTGGGGAGTGTTACCTAATTTAGCTGATATTAGCTGATATTGCTATTACTTTCTATTATTTTCTAGTCTAACTACAACTCAAGATTTTAATTTCTTGTAGAATAAAAAGAGGGGGTATATTGAGGTGATGAGTTTGTTTATGGTAGAGCCCCAGGATCTTCACAGGAAATACAATAAAGTCCAAATGAGAATACTTCATATGCATATTGAGCCTTGAGATTATTAGAGAAAAGTCTATCAAATCTTTGTTATATATTACATCTGTGGTGCCTTTTTCATCCTTGTAATGTTACATGAAATCATAAAGGACCAGCCAATTTGAAGTGGGCCATACTATTTCATTTTTAAATGGTTGCTTTTAAATGGTTTTCACTTAGAACGTGAAAGTATTACATCATGTTGTTTACTGTAAATTTATTGGCTTGGCCATGAAGTTGTTCTGAGCCCTAGAAAAGGTATCTTCTTTCCAGGCAAGCTTTCATAGTATGCCCTCTAATTCACATTTTAATAAATGTCATTTCCGAAGTGCATTACCTCATGTTTTGGCTACAATCCAGAAGAGCCTGAGAGAATAAGAAAAATGTGCTTTCTGACTGATTCATCCATATTTTATTTTACTTTTCATTAAGAAATTACTCCTTGAAGAAAATCAATAATCTTCTGTGACTGAGGAGGGAGGTTAGCGTGTTACTATCTCAAACCAGAATGCCTTCAGCCAGATATTGCTGATGAATTTTTGTCCTTTCTTGTTCTTGCAGCCTGGGTACATGGAGATCCCAGAAGAGTGGCTTATCCTACAGACAGCCAGGGCCACTTCTGTGGCCAGAAGGGCACTCCCAATGAGTGAGTATGGCCACGTTTATTTTGTGTGATTTTACTGTCTGAACTGGAGTCACATTAATCTTACTCGACTTCTTAAGAAGACTAAAATTCATGACAGAGGCTTTACCTCTGTCTTTTCCAACAGGTAGCTATAAGCAATTTGCAAGTGTCATACTATAGGACTTTAAATATGGTGCCATTGTTATGTAGCATTGTATTAGTAAAATGTATAATTTTGAACAGAGTGGTGATAGCTGTCTAAAAACTCATCAACTTGAGAGGAAACACAAGTTGTGAGTTCAGGGCTACTCTAGGAAAAGAGAGAAGAGAGATCTTGTTTCAAAAACACAAAAGCCAAACTGGACATGGGTGGCTCACACTTGTAATCCTAGCTACTCAGGAAGCTGAAATTGAGGTAGTAAAGCACATGAGACTCTTATCTTCATTTAACTACCATAAAAGTTGGAAGTTGAGCTGTGGCTCAAGTAGTAGAGTGCTAGTCTTGAGCACAAAAGCTCAAGACAGCACTTAGGCCCTGAGTTAAAGTCTCAAGACTGGCACACGAAATAAACATCCAAAACAAAAACAAACAAAATACAAAGCCAATTACCAATTACTCATGTCTGGAAGTTAAGCTTTCCTGTAGGTTGACATCTGAAGGACTGTGGTCTGAAAAGCCCGTCTAGGCAGGAAGGTCCAAGAGACTTCATCTCCAAAATAATCCGCCAAAGATGCATCTCAAGTGGTAGAGCATCAGCTGTATATGTAAAACTGAGTAAGCTCCAGGCCCTGATTTCAAAGGCCACATACACACACACAGACACACAGACACACAGACACACAGACACACACACACACACACACACACACACACAGTCTGAAGGATAGATTAGACCAGTGGTTATTGTAGAGCAGTTGTTTGCTCATTTGGGTCAAAGCTCACTGATTTATTATTCCATCTTCAAAAGTAAAAGGCACACCCAGAAGATCTGTGGTGATTGGTCTGTTTTGAGTGCTATGGACAATGTCCTAGTGTAGGGGAATAAAGCAATTATTTTCCAATCGTAGCAGAAGTTTCTATTTTTTAAAAGGCAATTTTTATTATTTTGTCTAAAATAACAAAATATAAATCTCACATTTTAAGATTTTTTTTCTCAGTAATCATTTCTTTTATTACTTGAGGCTGTTGCTAGATTTTGTGCTTCATCGTAAGTAATTCAGTTCCTAGAAAAGCCAGTTTCAGATATTAACAAACACACAAAAAGCTCCCAATCAAAACAAAGAACATGATTCAGAACACTATAGTTTTGTTTTGTTTTAATGGTGTCCGCTCATCACTGTTATAGTTTTTTTTTTATATGTTATTCACAATCTTTCTTTATTAATCATGAAGTTGGTTGTTGGTTTGATGTAAACATGTTTTGTTTATTGGGAACTTAACTTCTTCTGGTTGTTGTAACCCAATCAGTGAGAAAACAAAAGATGCTACAATTAATAAGTCAAATTATAAGAGGCATTATTGCAAAGGCTGGTGGCTGCATGGGGGCATAGACTTTCCAAATCATGCATCCCCCAGACAACTCAGAGTTAAGTCTTTTAAAAGCACAAACCACATTATTTTGGCAAACAATGTTTAGGTTTTTTGTTTTGCAAAGCTGATACAGAAACGAAACTGAGCATTATCAGTAAATTTAAACTTCCCTGAATATTGGATGGCTGGAATGTTTTGGAGTATTTTTTTAAAATTTAATTTTATTTTATTTGTGAACATATTGTACAGAGGGGTTACAATTACATGGGCAGGATAATGCATACATTTCTTACCAAGCATTGCAGCCTCCTCCTTTGGTTTACC